TGGTGCCTGGGCACCTGTCTGGGCCTGCCCAGGTGGGAGTTGGCACCTCATCTCCCAGACCTGGCAGTGGGAACGGGTGGGGGACCTTGGGGAAGAATTGCAGGCCTTCCTTAGGGAATGTCTCAACCAGAAAAGGTTGATCAGCAAGGGAAATGGCAAATGCCTCCTACAGCCTAAACAGGAGATGTGGTTGGTCCTACTAAGGTCTAGGCCTGTCACTTGCATTATCTCACTTAATTTCCATGGCAACCTAAGAAGCAGCGAGAGTTAACCTCATTTTACAGAAAAGAACAGTTGAGGATCAAGATGTTATGTTGCTTGTCAGAGGTCACACAGCCGACAGGGCTTTCTTCACTGTAGCACATTGCCTCTGAGTCCTAGCCATGGTTTGTTCTAGATACTTGGAAAGGTTCAGTGAAAACCTTCAACAGCTGAAGGGGGGAGAGAACTACAGATACTGACACCTAGCCTGTTGTTTGTGCTTCCCTTGGTCCCTGCTCCTGCCACCCTGCAACACACACATGCATGCACTCATGCTCATGCACACACAGGCTGGAGGCAGCTGAACTATTGATATGAACTTAATGCCCATTTGCATATAATTTTTAAAAAGTTTTTTTTTTTAGGGGAGAAAGGAAGGAGAAAAAGAGGGAGAAAAACATCAATGTGTGGTCGCCTCTCGCGCAGCCCCAACTGGGGACCTGGTCTGAAACCCAGGCGTGTGCCCTGACCGGGAATTGAACCAGTTGTTTCTCAGGCCGGCACTCAGCCCACAGAGCCACACCAGCCAAAGCTGCATATAATTTCGTATCTAGTTTTCTAATTGCTCATTAGATGCTCCAGCATATGTGAAGCCTGCCGGGGCCGCCCTGCCCTCCTACCCCAGTGTACATCATATGCTGTTTTTCCTTTCTCCTCCACTTTGTTCCTTTAGTCTTGACTCCTCCTAGGAGCCCCTAATTCCCAGTGGGTCAGGTTGGGCTGGGCAGCATAGAAAAACTCCTTATGGGATCTGTGTCAGGAATCTGATCCTGTTTCCCCAAGTGATAGAGTAGGTGGGAGAATGGGGGCTGGAATAAGAAGGTGTGGGTGATTGAGTCCCACAATGATGAGGGCAAGGACTCACGGGTCCTCTTCTGCATCTTTGTACCATCTACTTGTACTTTCTACATTTCCCTGTTAATGCCTTGGAGAACCTTCTTCCCAGGGAGAAGGAGACATGGGAAGGAGTTGTCAAAGTCATGCTGGGACTTAGAATGGGACCATGGCACTAAAATTGAGCTTGCTGGGGGTCTGTGTCCCTGCTGCTTCTGCTGTGGGAGACTGAGGGGTTCATCTGTGATCCTGCCCTGGCTCTCGCCCCAGCCCCACCCCTTCCCCAGCTCTCTATTTCTTTCTTATGAAATATGCATGGAGAACAGATGTCCCTGCTCCCCTACTGCCTGCCCGCCCCCCAGGGCCAGCCCCCGCCCCCAGCTCCCGGAGTGGGGGGTTCCAAGGTCCCTCTGCCAATGACTGCCTGGCCTGCCTGTTTAATATTGATGAGGGGGGAGCCTGGGCCAGCCAATGGAGAGCTGGGGGTGTGTATGTGTCTCCATATATATACACATAGGGCTGAGCCAGCCCAGGTGTGCATGTGTCTGTGAGTGTGTGTGCCCGTGTGTGAGTACTGGTGACCCAGTACCTGACCAAGCCCACCCCTTCCGCCTGGGTCCTATATCCCCACCATGTGTACCCCTCTCATCTGCCCTGGAGCCTGTACAGCCACGCCACGCTGACCCTGAGAGCTATAGAAAGCTGGTCACTAACTTTGCAGATGGATGAGCTTTGAGCAGCCAGAAGAGACTGGGGCTATCAGCGCTGCCCCTGTCCTGCCAGCTTGGATCCCCTCACAGGGTCCTCCTAGGTAAAAGGGGAACCACGGGTTAGGGAGGGGTGGGCATGTCCCTCCCATTCTGGCTAAAGTCCCCTCCCAGAGCCTCCCTTTACTTCTCCCTCTAGTGTGTTGTGTCTCTCTGCCCTGCACCACCCTCTTACCTACTTCTCCCTGTTGACTCTGTGCCTTCCTCTCTTCATTTGGGTTGGGGATGGCAGAAGTGGGACAGGAAGTCATGTCCTGGATGCTTGGAATTGCTGCTCTCTCTGATCCTTGGAGCCTGGAACTTTGAGACCAGAAGTGGATTTGGAGTGAGGACTTGATGGGTAAACAGAAGCTGCTGCCAGGACTGGAGCTGGGAAGGACAGTGGGGCCAGGTGGAGATGGGGAAGGGGTCAGGTTGGGAGCAGACAGGGGAAGAGAGGGCATGGCAAAGTGATCAGGGATGCAGGGACATGGGGACTGGCCAGAGGGAGAATTAGGCCAGATGAGAGATGTCTTTAGAACTCCACAGCTGGACTCCTGAAGCATGGGGGTGGGAAGTTGGGGAACTGAACATGTACCAGAAGGTGCGGATTGTGGCGCCTCCCACACTATTGCCATCCCCTCTTGTTCCTCTGGACCCCAGACTATGGACTGTTTCTAAATTTCAGGACTAACCACCTTCTGTTTTGTGTTATGGTTGTATTGTACCTGCCAGTCAAATGTTGATGCCCCCTGCCCCCAGAGCATAGTTACTATTTGTCCACTGCAATTGAGTCTGTCTGCTATGCAGTAGGGTGGGGCAAGCTTGGGGGTTCCTGATGCCTGTGAGGGTGTCTGTCAGGCAGAAGAACCAAGGTTGGTTAGGAAGGGGTGATGGTGACTGTGGGGGAGCCTCAGTGCTTCTGCTTCTGGCTGTTAAGTCCAGCTGAGCTCACAGTGAATTCCTGCTAAACACTCCCTATAAGCAGAGCCCTTTCCTTAGCCTTCCCAGGCCATGTTCCTGCTGCCTTGCCCTGACATCTTTTGGTCCCATGGACAAGCAAACCTTAGGTGAGCTCCATAATGGTGGCCCCAAGAAGTTTTCCACATCCTCCTCTGTAGGCTGCATATGAACTGACCTCGGGCTGTGGGAGGGTGCTAAGTGCAAAGCTGCTTATATTCCCTTTCTCCAACCTTCCTTGCAGAGGAAGGGCCAGAGGAAAGTCTGAGGTTATTGACTTCAGAGCTAGAGGAAAGAGCTGGTCCTGAGCAGGGGAATCACAGCCAGAGGAGATACCTTCCCCTGACTCTAGTGGACAAGCTGGTGGGATCTGGTGTCTGCAGTGGTCATGTTTGGGAGTGAAATGTGGGCTGGTAGTCACTGAGCTGGGGCAGCTGGGCAGAGCTCCATATGTCCCAGTCCCCTCTACAATGGGCAATCTGTGTATTTATTCCTGCCTTCTCCCCACCCCCACCCCCCCCCCACCCTCACCCCACGCACACAAGGATAGAAAAGGGCCATGGGAGGGAGGGGATCACAGGGCCAAGGCTTGCGGTTCTCCCCATCACTAATAAAAGTTTAGAGTCACAGCCAATCTCTCAGAGCTGTGGCTTCATGTTGCTCAATTCTTTTTCTTTTTCTGTTATCATTTCTTTAAAAATTTTATTGGGGTAAAAAATACAACATAAAATTTACCATTTTAAGTGTGCAGTTCAATAATGTTAAGTATATTCACATTGCAGTGAAACAGATCTCCATAATTTTTCACCTTGTACACATGAGACAGTACCTCCCCTTTCTGCCTCCCCCAGCTCCTGACACACCATTCTAGTTTCTGTTTTAGTGAAATTGACTGCTTAGATACCTTATATGAGTGAGATCATACAATATGTCTTTTTGTGACTGGCTTATTTCGTTTAGCATAATGTCCTCAAGGTTCATCTATGTGGTTTCTTATCCATTCATCTGCAAATGGACATTTGGGTTGTTACCATATCTTTGTAATTGTGAATGAACATTACATTAGCAGATACCTCCCTTTTCAAGATCCTGATTTCTGATTTCAGTTTTTTTGGATATGGTAACAACCCAAACTGTTTTTAATAGTGGTCGCACCATTTTACAATCCCATTAACGTGGTACAAGTGTCCCAATTTCTCTACATCTTCACACTTGTTATTTTCTGTATTTTTGATAGCATACACCCTAATTGGTGTGAGGTGATATCTCATGGTTTTGATTTGCATTTCTCTAATGAGCGATCATGTTAATCTTCTTTTCATATAGTTGTTGGCTGTTTGTATATTGTCTTTGGAGAAATGTTTAATTAAGTCCTTTGCCTATGTTTTAATCAAGTTACTTGATCTTTTGTTGTTGAGGTATAGTTCTTTTTTTTTTTAAAGATTTTATTTATTTATTTTTAGAGAGGGAAGGGAGGGAGATAGAGAGAGAGAGAAACATCAATGTGCAGTTGCTGGGGGTTATGGCCTGCAACCCAGGCATGTACCCTGGCTGGGAATCGAACCTGCGACACTTTGGTTCACAGCCCATGCTCAATCCACTGAGCTACACCAGCCAGGGCCGAGGTACAGTTCTTTATACTATTCTGGATTTTAAGCCCTTATCAAATAGATGATTTGCAAATATTTTCCTCCATTCTGTAGGTTGCCTTGTTATTCTGTTGACTGTGACCTTTGATACACAGAAGTTTTTAATTTTGATGTAGTCCTTGTCTATTTTTATTTTTGTTACGTGTGCTTTTGGTGCCATATGTAAGAAATAATTGCAAAATCCAATGTCATGAAATTCCCCCCATGTTTTCTTCTAGGAGCTATATAGTTTTAGGTCTTTAATCCTCTTGCATGGTTTTATCCTGTGCCATGTCCTCTTCATTACTTCTCCTCCTTTCCTGTACCTCACTTTCTGTATTCTCTTCCTTCTTACCATCTTTTCTATTACTCCTTCACAATGTGCCCATCTGCCTAACTATCCTGCTGCCCACCCCTACCTCCTGCCCTTGTTTCTGTCCTCCTTCCCCTATACTTACAATACCTCCTTCCTCCAAGTCTGTCTCAAACCTTCCTTATGCTCTCCTCATCTCTGAGTTGTGTCCTTCCTTCCTTCCTATCAGTTTCCTCTTCTCTCTTTCAGGCTCCCAACTGGAACCCTGACCATGGAACCCTGAAGTGGTTCTGACTTCTTCAGCTCAGTGGCAGACCCTACCACCCCAGGCCCTTCCTGCCTTTCCCACAACCAGTTTTCAGGCTCTCAGAGGGAAGAGGTGGGGAGGGAATCCTGATCTCACAGAGCAGGGAGCATCCATCATGATGCTCAACTCAGACACGATGGAGCTGGATCTGCCCCCCACCCACTCAGAGCCAGAGTCAGGCTTCAGCGACTGTGGGGGCATGGCGGCCCCTGACCAGGCTGGGCCCAAGGGTCTAGAAGGGGGCCAGACCCGGGGCCTGGAGCCAGGAGAGCCTGGCAGGAAAGACCTGCAGCACTTGAGCCGGGAGGAACGGCGGCGCAGGCGCCGGGCCACAGCCAAGTACCGTACAGCCCATGCCACGCGGGAGAGAATCCGTGTGGAGGCCTTCAACCTAGCCTTCGCTGAGCTGCGCAAGCTGCTACCCACACTGCCCCCGGACAAGAAGCTCTCCAAAATTGAGATCCTGCGTCTGGCCATCTGCTACATTTCCTACCTGAACCACGTGCTGGATGTCTGAAGGCAGCCTGGATGTGACCCCCTGCCGGGCCTGACTAGGTCCCTTCTCATCACCAACTGGCTACAACAGCCACCTCTTCCCTGAGCCCTATACCCTGACATGGAGTCCCCCAGGCACCGGGCCCAGGAACAGTGCCCCATTACCAGCTGGTCATGAAGGCAACTTTCTATTACCAACCCAGGCATCCCAAGGCTGTTATGGACACCTTCTGCAGTTTGTGGTTGGGCCCCCACTGTTAGAAGTGTCTGCTTGGGAGGCCAGTATACAGTCCTTGCTGGATTTACTAAGCCCACCACACATGGGTCTCCCCTAGCTCTCTCATGGGCTACTGCCTCTTCTACCCCACATCCAAATTATCAGGGATCCAGACACACACAGCCATCTTCTTTCCACCCTGTTCCAGCTTCTGCCCCTTTTAGGGTAGGGGCATCAGAACAGGAAGGGGGTAGGCTGGGCTTAGAGTGGAGTGAGCTTCTTCCTCAAAGATCTCAGTCTAGTTTGGCAGAAGGGCCTGGGGAGCTAATACCTGTGAGGTGAATCTCAGTAGCTGAAATTAAGGAATAAGGCTTCCTATCTTGTTTTCTATCTTGTTTCTGAGGATGCAGACCTTGGATCTTACTTGGTAGTGAGTGCCTTGCCCTCTCTGTGCTATTTGGCCCCCTCTGTGTGCCCTCCTGCTTCTACAGTCCCAATTTTCTCCCTGGGTGTAGAGCTAGAGAAAAGGAAACCTAGATCTTGCAGTAGGGGGTGATGTCACCCATTCCCATCCCAGGGAATGGGTGGGCCAGATCTCACACCTGCTTTCTCCATCCAAGCCCACCATGGAAATGTGCAAACCCACACCAGTTCCTCCCTTAGATGCACGGGGTGCCCCATCATTGCCCTCTGGGAATGTGCAGCTCTCCTGGCCATAGGGTCTTTATTACTTTTCTTTCCTTCTTTAAGCTGCCTTCAGCAATGGAAGAGACCCCACCTACCCAACCTCCAGGCTTTCTGCCCTCACCACCCATGTAGCTGAGCCCCAACCTGCTCACTAGAGCCTAGGGTCAGTAGTAGAGCAAGGGCCCTGAGACCTGTGTAGAAGAAAGGAGCTCACTACACTTATATGCTCCTCCCTCATACCAAACTCCTAGCTCTACAATTTTATTTATTTATTTATTTATTTATTTATTTATTTATTTATAAATATTACTATTTATTGCCCAATTGTGCACTTTGGGGTAGGGCAAGGGGGGCCCTAGCCAGTCCCTCTTGCTTCCTCCCTGATTACTGCTTTCCCTTTTGTCCTTCTGCAACTCCAGGTATGTGTAGGGATCCCCTTTGCTGACAACACCCATGTCCCTTCCTCAGATCCATTTGTCCTGATATCCTAGTCCTCTGGGATGGTGCCCCTCTCCCAGCTCCAGGGATCCCGGATCTTTCCTCCCTCCCTCCCTCCATTCCCAGACAATTCCACCCTGTCCCACCTGCTTCTGTTCTCTCTCCAGCCCTCCCCCATGACCCTCCTTCCTAGTACCCCCAAGAGTGGGCCTTAGGGGTCTATGTCCAATTTCCTCTGTATGATTCCCTCCTGTTGCATTTCTGATTTCATACAAAAAGAAAAATTAAAGTGACCTCATTGTAGCATCAGGTATGGCTTGGATCATTTGATTAGGTTGTGAAGGTGGCCTGCAGGTTATGGTAGGGAAGGCATTAAGGGTTCTAGGCCTTGATGGCTCTTCTCATTGGATCATGAGAGCTCAGCCTGGTCAGTAAATGAAGACAGAAAGGAGAAGGGGTCACAGAGTAGAGAGGTGCAGAGGAAGGTGTAACACACAGGTCCCAGACCTCCCCATCTAAAGTACCTTGTACCCCCATCTTGACACTTTCTGATCTCTCTGATGTGCTCTGCTGCTGCTCTATATGGGCCTAAGAAGGAGCTGAGTGTCCCAGCAGAACCTACCATAAGTTAAACATGTGTCTGTGAGTCCATGTTCCTAGGAAAAGCCATGGCATGAACCATTGCCTTCCCCATTATTGTCCCTAAGCAGGATCAAAATTCCTTACAGTCCCAGTTCTTGACTCATTTTGTGATCCCCAACATTAGGATACTAGGGAGAACACAGTAGAGGACCTAGGACTAAGAGAATATAATAAGGAAAGGGACAAAAAGGAGTTCTGAAGGAATATCAAAGGAATCCTAAAAGGCACCTACAATCAATTTATAGATGAGGAAACTAAAGCCCAGAGAGGAGGAAGGCTTTGCCCAAGGTCACACAGGTAGTTGTGGGCAGAGATAAAATTCAAGGCCCCTCTATACTGCCAAGGCCCCTCTGCCTCCCTGAAATGATGGCCTAACAGGTGGCACCCTATAAACTCCTTATTTTAATGGAACATTGATAAACTAGAGTATTCAGAATTGTGTGGCCAAGAAGGCGAAAGGCCCGTGACTACTTCACAGAAGGAATAGTTGAAAAAGTGAGGATATGTGTTTTTATAATAGTAGATTTAGGGGCAGCGTGCTACCCATCTTTAAATACTGAAAGAAGAAACAAAAACCAACATTCTGTGGGTTCCCGGGAGTCAGAACCAGAACTAGTAGGTAGAAGTTATAGGAAACGGATTTTTAGTGCAACAAAAACTTTTCAAGCCTTGGACCTGTCCCACAGTAGAAGGGCCAGCCTCAAGGAGTAGGGGTCCAAGTAGACAGGCACTGGTACCTCTGAGCACATTCCTGCTTAGGTGGTCTTTAAGATCCTTTTCAAACTTGAGGTCATCTGAGAAGGCTGCAGGCAGACAGTGGGAGGGAAATACAGTTTCTGAAAGATGCCATTTTCATCTGCAATGAGCACAGAATGAATGACATCAGCAGCAAGAGGTTTGAGTTAGACTTAAGGAGAGTTGATATCTTCCCTTCCCCCACTGAGTTAGAGTGAAACGTGCTCTTCCCAGAACACTACAAGAAGAAGGGCTGAACTGAGGCCAGTTCAGTTCTTGTAGAGGACTACAAGGAGCAAGAGTGGGAAGGGAGCACAGAAAGCAATGAACCTGACACCTTTGTTTTAAAGGCAGGTTATTATTGTCCACAATGCTGCTGTCTCACACATGATGGTGGAATGGGACTAGAACCTGGGTCTTCCACTTCTGGCCCTGAGTGCTTTTGCTTCCCCTGCACAGCAGCCACAGCCTCAAGCTCCCTGCCCCCCTCACTTTTCACTTTGCCAGGCTGGAAGGCAGAAGGGGTTATTGGGCAACCTCTTCAGGGATCCCTGATGACCTGGGGGTGGTTTCAAGGGGCAGCTGCAGCTGTTCTACTGCTAGCTCCAAATTTCTTCAGATAATCAATTGGCCTCGCTATTGCTGGGCTCTGAAAGACAGGCAAGGAAGGAGGTGGGGGTGAGAGGAGGAAGGGACAGGACACTGGGAGAGGAGATTGTTGGGGAGATGGAGTCCTGAGGCTAAGGGATGAAGGGAAAGTGAGAACTCCAGGGCTAACAGACACAGAGGAGGGAGGAAGGGAAGGCTAGAAGAGCATGCCCTCTTGGGATCCTCATTTCATATCCTCCAAAACCCAGCAAGTGTGCCAGTGGGGTGAGAGAGGGGCAGTTTGGGGCTCCAGACCAGGGGGGCTCTGGCACATCACCCTCCCCTTCTTCCTCCAATCTCTTCTCATCAGGCCATACCACTTCCAGCTGTCCATGTCCTATTCCATTCCTAGTTGCTATAGGCCCTAACCCTCCAGTCCTGTCTGTCATAATTGCTCCCCTCTGCCCTCTTTCTCAGCAAACCCCACCCCCCAGTGTCAGAGCAGACAGCAGGGCCCCTGGGGTTTGATAAGGAGGGGGAGGAAGGACTCTTAGCCACTCCTCCCCACCCACACATGCACTTTGTGTAGGCTGCCAGGCAGATGGCCCCTTTGTGCCAACACAATGGAGGCCTTACCAGTGCCCTCTTCCTCGGTTTGCCCAGCCTCCTTTCTTCTCTATCCCCAATCCAGTGTCCACCTTCTTTGCCTTCTCTTTCTCTATGTGGAAGGCCTCTTTTATGATCCCTTCCTTCATCTTTCTGCCTCTTTCCTGAGCTCTTGAAATCCTACTGTGTGAGGATTGTGAGCTGGAGAAAGAAGCTGATAGGAGGGTCACAGTCCTTGACTGCTGGTTTGGGGAGAGAAGAATACAAGCATAGAGGGAATGTGGAGAAGGGAGTCAGTGTGGCTGGTGGCCAGCAGTGTGGGTAGCAGCAGCAGCAGCAGCCACAACAGCAATATTGGGCTAAAGGGATGAGAGAGTGCATACCTGGCAGCCAAAGTACCTGTGTGCATCTAGGCTCCATACTCACCTTTCCTCTTTGTGCCACAATGAGCAAACCACATGCCTTCCTGGGACTCAGCTTCCTCATCTGTAAACTGAGGAAAATAATAAGACCTATCTCACAGAGTGTTAGGAGGATTAAATGATTTCATCCTCGTGGTGCTCAGTGCAGTAAGTGTCACCATGCGCTGGTTCAGGGGCAGTAAGTAGTGGGGTCAACCTCTACTCTTGTACAGCTTGTGCACTGTACAAAGTAGCTAAGCCAGGGCAGTGAAGGGGCCTGACATCCAGCCTCTGCTCCATCATACCAGTTGTGCGCCAGTGAGGATGTATGCAACCCCTGAGAGGTGGTGGCCCTGGAATCAGATCCCTTCTGTGGAGTGCTGAGCATCAGTCACAAGTCCAACAGAAAAGTTATAGGTCCCAACTACCTTGGAAACCAAGATAGAATAGGAGGAGACAAGAGACTATGGGAACATCAGAGAGGAAGATCCCTTAGTTCAGTGTTCTCTGGAAAGTTAGAAAAAAACAAACTATGAAATTTGCTAAACTGAAGACAGACACACTGCAGCTGAGGAGACACACTGCAACTGAGAGGAGGTGTGATAAAAAAAAAAAAACAAAAAAAAAACAGAAAAAGAGGGAGAGCTGGGTGGGGAATGTGATCAGAAAATTGTGTTGGTTTATTGACCTCTGATCCTCACTCCTCTTCCATTCCCTCCCCTAAGCCTGGTCTGAGTAATGCTTGTTGAACACTGCCGCCTGCTGGCCACACTCAGAGACTTTCTCACTCTTCCCCTCTTTTTGGCTGGGAGCTGCTAAGAATCTGAAAACAGAAGACCAGACAGGGTACACAGAGTGAAAAAGATGTGGGGGAAACTGCCATCCAGAATTCTTTAAGGTGAATGAGAGTTGATTACTGACTAGGGATAAATAGAGACCAGAATTCATAGGTGTTCATTTACATATATTAATGGTCTATAATTTTCAGATTGATTTTCCCCCTGCCTTTATTCATTTAATTTGTTTTGTGTGTATGTGTGTATAGTATGTGTATTCTGTCTCTGGAGGTGTTTGCCTGCTTCTGTGGTTTCTGTGTATGTGTACATCAATGTGTTGTTTTTGTGTCCTTTTAAAAAAATCAAATGAGGATATGTTTTTATTAATTTTAGAGAGAGAGGGGAAGGGGGTTAGAGAGAGAGAAAGAGAAAGAGAGATATCTATGTGAGAGAGAATCATAGATTGGTTGCCTCCCATACACGGCCAACCAGGGATTGAATCCACAAACTAGGTATGTGCCCTGACCAGGATCAAACCTACAAACTTTTGTTGCATGGGACAATGCTCCAACCACCTGAGCCACTTGGCCAGGGTGTGTGTTCTTTTTTACATAGGAATCTGAGTGACAGCTGTCAGGCTGGACCCTGTTTCATTTCTTCTTCCCCTAGAAGCCCTTTCCTTTTCTCTAGGTTTTACTTCTGTCTTCTAGCTCCATAAGCCACAGGGCTATTTATACGTGACAGTCTTTTGTTGGCTTCTGCCCCACGTTGGATATTCTAAGCTCAGAGCCTTGCTTTGCTCTCACCTGGGACTTTTAGACCTCCCCAGAAGGACCTTGGTACCCAAGTGAAGTGAGAGGAAATGGAGGGCCCTGAGATCAGAGCCTCTTTGCTACCATCATCCCTTTTATCCTTACTGGCATTTAAACTCCAGCCTTCTCCTTTCATAGCCTTGTAGCTGTCTCCTTCATTAGTCAATCCCATTTTATTCAATTTCCTACACATTAATTGAATAGCCAGTGTGTGCCAGGCACTGTTCTAGGTTCTGAGATACAGATCCAGGCTCTTCTGACCATCTTCTGGGGAGGTAGAGTGGGGACACGGACATGTAAACACATTAATTTTTTGACAGTGAATAGCACACACATGGAATAGAAGTAATTCAAGGACAGAAAGATTAACTTAGAGGGAATGTTGATGAGGGAGGGAGCGGGTAAAACCCAAGTTGTGCTTTGAAGATTAATAGGGGTTTTCCAGGTCTGCAAAGGTGCTTGCGGAGAATTCCGTGGTGTGCTGTCAAGAGCCCCCTTCACAAATTTCCTCCTTCACTGGACTGGAACACTCACTTCCTCAGCTGCAGCAGTGTTGACTCACAGTGGACCATCTCAGCTTGAGATCCCCTTTGAGATTACCAGAGGCCTCTGCTGTAATTGCACTGCATTTCAGCTTTTCTCTGTGTTTAATCCAGCTTCCACACACTTAATGGGTGTTCCCAGGAGCATGCCTAAGAGCACTCTCCTGCATATAATCTCAGAG